TTTACTGGGGCTCATTCTGGCTACTCGATATGCAGCGAAGGATTCTCGTTACAGCACCTCATTATAGAATAAGAAAGAACCTTGAATGATTGAGGGAATAAACACTAGATTTACTGGCCTGCTTTAACGATGGCATCTACACGTTTTCAGGCAAGAAGTGTCTGAAGCGGTGTAAAATAACATTCATCAGGGATTGAGAAGTTGATCAAGTGACGCATGAGGGGGCGAAGGGACCTCCACAGAATTCAATGAAGTACTTTTCTCGGTACTTTTCAAAAAAAATTTGATTTTTCCATTTCTAGGTTCCCAGTGTGGCTGACTTATACCTTTCATAACTTGAAATTACCTAGTCATAACTCGTTCTTTTGGCCTTTCACTTGATCTTAATGAAATGTCGTTTTGAATAAGCGATTAAGGGTTGTACCAGGTGTGACATGGCGTTTCTCATCACGGCGAGGGCGACAAAAGAGGCCTCGCAAGCGGGTGATGTGCGCAGCCACTATGACTCGACTCACTCAAAGGGGCAGCGCTCCCGCGTCTTGACTCCCACTGTGCTTCTTACCTCAACTGCCTAGGAAAGCGTGCGATGCCGCGACTCGGGAGTAATGCTGTAAAACCCCTAAACCAGGAGATTCGAGTTATGGCAACGCGCCATATTTACTAGCTGATTGAGTCGGTTTGGTCTAATAGTTCGCGCCGAGTCAATGAGGTTTTAATGCGAAGCTGTCTTGCGCAAGGGACTTGCACGGTTTTTTTCATTGTGCTTCCAAATATCGATTCTCCGTGGCTGACACCCGCGAGTAGGCTGCTATTATTGTAAAGGCTGGGTCATAGTTGAAAATGCAGTACTTCCCATAGGAAGTAAGCCCTTTTGACCCCTTACGTGCTCTGCTCTCACCTTCTTCAGTAATGTGAAAGTATGAAATGCATCCATTCGTTACCGTTGAGAATGTTCTTTTTTCATCTATCGTCCTCTATTTTAGCATTTCTTCATCCTTTTTAGAAACGTGCCCATCTATCTGTTGGCTCAACGTCGGAAGTGGCACTGAACATCACACAATCAGAATTGAAGGGTATTTCGGCCTCCATCAAATCGCCGTCTGGTATTGAAGAACCGTGCTTTGTTCGTCTCATTGAAGGAGGAAGACTTGGTGATTTTTTTTCTTGCCCTGATTTTACGAGATTTTTGTTTCACATCATTTATTCTATGGCCATTGCCAAAATAACAGACATCTTAAGTCGGTGGTGGTGCTCACTGATCATAAAAGTTCATAAACGGTCTATAAAACGCTCTCCTACCCCAAGATCTTCAAGAAAGCCCTCGAGAAGCTTATTTATCAATGATGATAGTGGAAAATATCAGCGAAGTTTTTTTAAGCGCCAATATAATAATCGGGATGATGGGTATTCACTCCTTTCGCGATTTGCGATACTGTAATAATGCCATCCAAATAGAGCTATGCAACTTGGACCTTTCTATCACCTTAGAGCTCCTTCCTTTGGGCTTGGGCGAAAGCTCTCGTCTTCTTCACCGTAATCCCAGTTTTACATAGCAAATTCTCCGGATGCCCCCTCACCCCTCAATAAAGGACGGAGGCGCAGTTTGACGGCGGGGGCATTTTGGCACCTTTGCTACACTCCTTGAACATGGCACCGAACTGGTTACTCGTGGAATATTCCAGTCTGAGCAACTGTCATCTTGTTCTGTATTGGACAGAGACACGACAACAATTGTGTCAAGATGAAAATATCTCACCAGAAGCATAGACACCTTCAGGTTAAGTTGAAACATGCGGCCACGCCTACCCGATCTCAGGGATTTCGAGTATACTTCCCATCGACGTGTCGACCTATCTAGACAGCCTCTTCTCGAGTTGACAGGTTTTAACATGATGGCTTGACGACCTTGTTCCAGCTTCACAAGAGTTCACAGGTTTCGCCAGAGTGAGACATGTAAACCGGAACTAAGGAAGCAATGATAGTACAAAATGCCCCCCCCCCATCGTCAAATTGCGCCAAGGACGCAGTCCATGGTTATTGGATGGGAAAAGGCTTTCAGTCGTAAAGGGTTGATAATCTCACTGGTGCTCCCTCCTTATAACAGGGTGAAGGCAAGGTGTGCGCCAGTGGGGTGGACATTGTGGTCGTTGGTCTCCATTCACTAGACCGCCCATCCGTTCATCGCGGAATTTTTCCTTGAGGGCCATGGTGGCCCATTGGCCCATTTCTGTTCGCTCAAGCCTGGGAAATTTTCCAGCCCTCTGGAACTCCGAATATGCTATGGAAAGGTCATCGTCAAGAGGAGTTACATATTGTGCTCGCTGTTAAGATTGCTTACTTTTAGGTGTTTCATTCACACCTCGTGAAGCGGGCGAACATCTCATTTCTGTGAAGAGGGATGGAAAACTATTGCCGAAAGCGCCATTCAAGATCAAGGTATGATTAAGTTGCAAGCACCTTCGCAACATGTTGACTTATTGAGTCTCTTATTCCAGGTGGACAAATCTCAAGTTGGAGATGCGAGCAGAGTTGACGTGAGTGGACCAGGCAAGAAGAGCGCTGAGTGTATGAAGGAAAATGAGATTCTCATCGATACAAGCCATGCCGGTTTGTTTGTTTTTTTTGTGAAGGTCTCAGACAATGTGGGTGGGTTCAAAGGTGTTTACTTGTTCAACTGGAATGTATCATTTCTCATGCAGTCGGCAACTGTTCTGTGTTTTTGCGTTGTTCGATGACTTTGCCCGCGGTGGCAATACGAGAGCAGCAAAAGTGCTTCGATAAGCAAGTATCCTACACAGGGCTCGCCATCGTTGTGATGATCACAAGGGGCGGGGGTCGTACTTGACCGCGAGGGAGGGGGGGGTCGTATTTGGTCGTTGTTGGGACTGCCAAAGATCTATACAACTACTATTTCCGATAGTTGAAAATGATAGTTAAATCTTGACGACATCCCCCCTCCTCCCGCTCGACAGCAAAATTTTGGGAAAACTATAAATTTTTCGGGAAACTCCAGAAAAATTGGGGAAAATCTGAGAAACTTCGCTGTTTCACATTTGGTATAATATACTCCGCTCCCCTCCGTCCTCCTACCCCCCCCCCCGCTCGACGGAAAATTGAGTGGTAGGAAGTTGGGAAATTCTAGGAAAGTGGTAGGTAGCATGGAGAGAAGGGGGGGGGGAGTGGTCGTATTTCTCAAGAAATGATCACAACGCGATGGCGTGCCCTGATTCTACATCATCGTTTCCATGCGAGGGGGAAGGGTCATCGTCGAGGGAAATTTCGCGGTTGTTGGACGTCTTCAGAAGTCCTGGTAAGATGCCAGGTACAAGGGTCGTGAAACAAAGTCATGAGCCGGGAACCTCTTTTTGTACTGAGGGTCGTTCCGAGACCGTCATTTTATCCATCAAGTTGATGTACCTTTTTTTCAGGTTATGGTGGATTGTCCGTGTCTGTCCAAGGCCCGTCCAAAGCAGAACTCAGCTGTAAGGAGGTAAAAGCTGGATTAATCAAGATTCTCTACAAGCCAACGGAGCCTGGTGTTTATGTGGTAGCTGTCAAATTTGCAGACAGTCATGTGAAAGGTGAGTGGTCGACAATCAAACTTATTTGCTTTTGTAAGGTTCGGAAGCATAAATTATGAGAAAAAACCTAATCTTTTTAATTATGGTCTTGTTTTTTTTCATCATTCTTGCAACTTTTTAACTGTCTTTCTCCGATCAGATCAAATTCACATCCCTTGATCATTGATAAGGATGGAAGCTCTGCGTACATAATGTGGACCGCATTGGGCAATCAGCATTAGTTTCGCGTGAGAAAATTTCAACATGAAGGCTTCACGTGGGGTGTTTGCACGAGTAACTCCGCCAAAGCTCTAGTGACTCCACCCACCTTGGATTCTCTCGTCTCTCGTATGCATGCTCTCTCTCTGCTATAGTCTGGTATCTCCTCCTGAATTCAAACGGGGTTTCGCTTTTCACTGGACGCGAGACGAACCTCGTTTGGCGCTTTCGACGGTTTCATCTATATGGTTCTTCACGAAAAACCAACTACTCCGTACACTACTGCTACTTCTGCTTCCAACCCCGTTACCTATGAGGTTTTTGAACGGCTTAGACAGAATGTGCTTTCAAAGGAGAAATGAGATGATATGTGAGAAACTGGTGGGCTATGCCGCTTGGAGTGCTATACCAATCAAAATCCCTCTCAAACTGAGTACTTCTCGTTCACGAAACACGTCCAGCGGCCTTAGGGCGATGCTGATTGAAAAGCGAATCGATTGAAAGCAAGAAACAACGAACAGGTGACGCCAACGACAAAGTTATCCATCGGAAAAAAAGCTGCTGGCAGCAGGCTCGAGGAATATTAGGTGCAGTTTCATCTCAAAGGGCAAAAAGGGGCTGATCGGGTGCCGACTCTCGTGCAGTTGACCATAAAGTTGGCAGTCAAGATGGAGTCATGAAAAATAAGTCCTGGATCAAGGCGACTTGTCGGATGCGCTGGTTTGCTGGTGTTTCTCAATATCAGAGCAAAAACATTCCTGACAACTGCTGCAAGAAGTCTTGAGCTCGATAGTGATAGTGCACTGCTTCACCTTTGCGGTAGTCGCAGGGTTGCAGAGCATGCACATCCTTATAGAAAAGGCATTTGAGGAATGATATAAATACGTAGGGTATTTACATTTTATACTTTCAAAAAAATAAGTGGATTCGTGGAAGTAGGCTGATACTAAAAAGGCTTCAGACGAAAAAATCTCAAGCCACAGGCGCTAGATGAGATAGAGCGGAAAATTCGTTGGCATGGAAGCGAAGGATATTTCTTTTTTCGATTGGTGTTATTCAAACCCGAGACACGGAATTATTCGAAAGGCTCTAAGCATCTTATAGAAACGCCTTTTTGACCAGGAACTTTTTTGGTGCGCACTGAATATTCATTTTTGAAAACTGGTCAGTGGACGAAGGGAAGGGGGGGGGGTGTAAACGTGACACATGTGAAAGTTAAGCAATGATTAGGCGTTCGAGATTCCTAGTGGGCAGATCTTGAGTTTTTCTGATGCTTGACATAGCATCGCTGAGCTGCACTTCATTCCATTCGTGAAATTGAATTCTTTAGTAAAGTCACGTTTTGCTTCATACCTATATTTCTGTGGCCGCATATTTTTAGCAAGCTCCGTGTACAAGGGCTTACCATGAGAAGTTGATGACGAGCCGAAACGTGCAACTTAGTCATCATATAGTTGCCAATTAGGCATGCTTGTCCTATGAGGTGGAGTCCTTCTGGAAGTTCGTTCGCCATCAGTGAGCTGGAATGCTGAAGGAGGGAGATCGGCTTGAGCAGGTTTAATGAAGGGAGGCGACCACCAAGACTGGTTTAGAAAGTCCTTGCAAGACAGGACGAACTTCAGACAGGATGGCACCCCTTCTGGTACAGAAAGAATAACAGCTTGACAGGGTGATATCTAGGATACGAAAGAGTTTAAAGTTAAAGGCAGCGTCCGCGTTCAGTTGAGATTTTCCTCTCCCTTCGTGAGCAGGTAGTCAGGTCCGCAGAGGCAACAACTACACCACTTTCGCGGCGCAAAAACGAGTGAGGAGGCCCACGATGCCGTCGTTCTTCTCATTGGCCCAACCTACAATCATTGGCACCGCCCTCCATCATTCCTAATGGTTATCTGATGGTGCGGTTGTTTCGCTGCTGCTTCTCTCCACGTCGAGTGGTGAGAGTGAGGTGATAAGGGAAAACAGCTGATATCAACAAGTGAGAACTCGTGCGACCGCTCCTTCCTTGAGCACGTACAACCTCAGTTAAGCAAGCGGTTTTATGGGCCTTTCCTATGATTTATTTCTGATTTTTCTTCACTAGAGGGTACTTGCTACCTTTTTATAAGTGTTGTGAGCGCATGACTCGTAATCAAATTAATGCGGCGCTCCAGCCTTTAAAATCCCAACCAGGCCTAAGCCTCCGTGCAAAGGCCAACGGTCCCATACAACTTCTTCCCCTTAAAAACTCGCTGAAGGCAAGACACGGCACATCATCGGTTGGGGATTTGGGCCGAGTCTCGCAACGACCCCCCCTTTTTTTTGGGGGGGGGCGGCGGTGTTATGACCGCCTCCGGCCTCTCCTCGCTCATTGAGTGGGGGGAAATATAGTAACACATGAATACTCTAAAAAACCAGAAAAACTCACCATCGTCTCCCAGAAAGCAAATCGACCCCTCCCCCGCTACTCAACCACAAATACGACTTTCCCCCCTTTACGACGCCTTCCCTTTACAACGTCCATGAAGCGAGAAAAATCAACTATCAAAATAAATTTTTCTCAGCCCAAATACGACCCCCCTCCTGGCGACCAAATACGACCCCCCCCCCCTACTGGGGATTCCCGAACAACGATGTGGCCTGATGGGAAATCTGATCAGGCTCTGCTCCAAGCCATGCACCCGACACACGCCATATGCTTTGCAGAGGTCGTTGCTGTATACATGGGTATACGTTCGTCTATGTATGTGTACATCTATGTAATCGCTGTTTTCCTGTATTAAAAAGTCAATATAAGTCAATATTATAGTATCTGGATGAAAAAACTGAGTGTAATTGTCGTTCAAGTGGAATTCAGTAGTGATCCCTTATCAAGCGTTAGTTGATTTTGAGTAATGTAATTGATCTTGTTTAGATAGTCCATTTACGGTACAGTGTACTGGAAAAGGTGCAGGACGAAAGCGCGAAGAAATTTCTCGAAAGGCGGAGCAGGTAAACGATATCTCAATGGCCGGCATTTGCACCAGCCGTTTTAACAAACCATTTTCAGGCTGGTTTGTCACTTGTTGGAAAGGAAGCGCTGTTGTTCTTGAATCTGCCAAATGTCGCCCCAATGGACAGCTGTGCTCGAATTCTCGATCCTAAAGGACATACTGATGACGTTGAAATGCGAGACATGGGTAGTCAGTTCTTCCAAATCAGGTTCGTGAAGTTCCCATTCTTTCTCTCATACCTTCAGAGAGTGACCAATTCTGGTAACTGTAAGGCAGGTTCAGGTGATCACTGAGTGGCGATCATGTTCTTGCGGTAGGTCCTAGGGCCACCGGGCCCAGACCACTTGGGCTCCTCAACGCTCCGTTTGATCATGGACTCAACTGGGAATGTCAAAGCAATGACACATTCATCAACTTGTTTCCTTACGCCCCTCCTCTGTCCTGACCACATTCGAAGACCAGACCACGTTCAATTACTCTAGAATCAGTGCAGATTGAAAAACTGGAATCCGAAATAGGAGTTTCAGTGCCGATCGAAACCGAATCTATTTGAAGGCAGTTGGCACGATAATGTTGGTACTCGGCCTAAAATGCTAGTAGGGCGCTGTATAGTGAGAAAATGGCGAAAGAACGGAGTGAAACGGTCAAAATCCTGCGAAGAAAAAGCCTCCGTTCTCAGTGACTTGTAAATCGATTTCGGACGAGTTTCCCGTAGGCATCTTGCCAATCACCGCTACCGAAGATACGGCTGCATATGTGTACTCATATATCCATGCAGCTCCGCCGCTTCATACCAATCCCTTCGCTCATAATTTGCTGAGCAAGAACCAGTAGTACGAGCGTGAGGAACGGTCGTCCATTTGTGGGCGGGCGGGCGTGGTAGGCGTTCGGGTCGGTATGTTGTAGCTTGATAGGGCCCCTATAAGGGTATCCCTCACCAGCGCCCGTTTCTCAGGGACAGCGGAATTCCGTCATCCTGCGCAGCGTGTTAATTTCGCTCACACGTCCTTTAAAGGCAGTTCGGCATGATAAAAATCCCCAAGACGACTGAGAATCAATATTCCTATGCACAGGACAGAATTCCGCGATCCTGGGCAGGCGCTGCATAGCGGTTTCCCGAGGAAGGTGCCCTTATAAGGGCCCTATCAAGCCACAACTTTACGTCCCAAACGCCCGCCACGCCCGCCCGCCCACAAATGGACGACCGTTCCTGACGCTCGCATTCATTCATTTGCTAAGCAAATTGTGAAGCGAGGGGATTGACATGAAGCGGCCGTGATGTCTGCTCTCACGTGGGTATCGACACATGCACCGTATCCTCGCTTAGCGGGTGATTGTAAGGTTCCGAAATCGATTTACAAGTGACTGAGATCGGAGGCTTTTTCCTTCGCAAGATTTTGACCGTTTCACTCCGTTCTTTCGCCATTTCCCCACTATACAGCGCCCTACTAGCATTTTAGGCTAAGTAGGAAACCATCGTGCCAACTGCCTTTAAGAGTCTATCGTGCCAACAGCCTTTAAAGTAACATTTCGCAATTAATGGAGAGTCGAATTTCCTCCGTTAGTAGTAGCCGTGTCCCCTACTCTCAAAACAGTGACCCTTTTCACTGTTCAAATGACGCCCAAAGCAGGCTATAACCTTATTATTCAGGTCCACGAGACTCACGTCGGGTCCTATTTCGTCGCTGAGGATGGGGTCGTACTTGGGTTCCGTTTTTTTCATAATTCTCATATTTTCTCTCTCTCTCAAGGCGGTGAGGCTAAATTACTACTTTTCGGTAGTTGGGCGGAGGCGTCTATCTTCTCCATGCTTTCTCTAGAAGGCAAAAGGCTGGGGAAATTCGGAAGACCGTAATTAGTTGTTAGGGTGGTCCCTCTCCGTGGTAGAGTCGTATTGACACCACCGTACCCATCTTGATGATGTAGTATGATGAGGATGAAGTGACTCGGGCCAAGTTTCCAATCGTTTAAGAGGTGGCGATTCTTTCATCTTTCTACCCTGTTTCCTTTTTTCATTTCCTTAATGGTACATAAGTAGACGCGCTCAGTATGTGACTGAGGGTTTTTGATGCTCATCAGATTACGTTTTGTAGATGGTTCCCCAAAATGGAAGGCGTACATCATTTGTCGGTCTTGAACAAGGATGCACATATCTACGGCTCACCTTTCCCATTCACCGTTGGACCGTTTGCAGAAGGAGGAGCTCACAAGGTATGTGGGGTGACTTTTTCACTAGTAATTGCCTAGTATTTATACTTAAAGTGACTGAACACTCATTTTGCAGGTGAGAGCATCAGGAATGGGTGTCGTCCGTGGTGAGACAAATACAATACAAACGTTCAATATCTACACTCGTGAGGCAGGACCTGGTAACCTAGTGGTATCAATGGAAGGACCAAGCAAACCACATATGGAGTTCCAGGATCATAAGGTGACTTGCACGAATGCCTTTTTCAGCCATGTAAAATGAAAATATCGCTCAAAGTTTTAAGTCTGCGTCGCCTAGTGCTAGAGACAGTATAACCTTTGAAAAACAAGTGCTTCTTCAGAAGGGTGCTTGTTCTGTAGCTTAGCTTACGCTAACAGTTTGGCTTACCGACCTGCAGTATCAGCTGTCATTATGAAGGATTAGTTAATCATTACGATTATAACTCTAAAAGGTCATCCATCTCATATACGCCCGAAATGGCTCGTGTAAAAACCCGTGATTCACCGCGCTCGTACGTGCATCAGGCGAAGAAAGGGTGTGGTCGGACGTCAAACATTCTCTTTCTTTGCCTATGCATTTGTTGTTCTCATTTCTCCTCATAACCTCACTCTCGTCATTCGAAATTGATAGAGTTAACGCTAAATAACCGCACCATCAGGTAGTAGTTGGATGTGAACGCTAGGCGTCACCATGGGAAGTGGGCGGGGCCGTCGTATCGCCAACGGGGATGCTTTTCTCACGTATTAGTGAGCTGCGAAAGTAGTACATCCTCTATGCTCGCAGGCAGGACTACCACGTCAAAAGAAGGCGCTGAACATATGAACGCAACCTTTCATACATAGAAGAGTCACAAAACTTTAAAGGCAGTTGGCACGATAAATCCCCCAAGGCGACTAGGATCAATACTGGCAGGATAGAATTCCGCGACCCTGGGCAGGCGCTGCATAGCGGTTTCCCCGAGGAAGGTGCCCTTATAAGGGCCCTATCAAGCCACAACTTTACGTCCCAAACGCCCGCCACGCCCGCCCGCCCACAAATGGACGACCGTTCCTGACGCTCGTATTCATTCATTTGCTAAGCAAATTATGAAGCGAAGGGATTGGTATGAAGCGGCCGTGATGCTGCATGCATACATGGGTACACATATGCAGCCGTATCTTCGGTAGCGGTGATTGGTAAGATGCCTACGGGAAACTCGTCCGAAATCGATTTTCAAGTCACTGAGAACGGAGGCTTTTTCTTCGCAGGATTTTGACCGTTTCACTCCGTTCTTTCGCCATTTCCCCACTATACAGCGCCCTACTAGCATTTTAGGCTAAGTAGGAAACCATCGTGCCAACTGCCTTTAAGGAGACTTGAACGGTACCTGGATAATTCAGTTGGTAATCTGTTTTTTTCCTGTCTCTCAAAGAAGCAAAATATTTTACTAAAAGACGAAGGGAGCTTGAAGAAAGCGGCTTCAAATTTGGAATTTGTACACTAAGATGTCGATTACTAGTTTCGGAATTTCAGGATGGCAATTGCTTTGTGAAGTATAAGGTGGCCGAGCCCGGAGAGTACATAGTTGGAGTCAAGTTCAATGATCAGCATATCACGGATTCGCCGTTTAAAGTGAGTAAGATATCCCTTTTTCAAGCATTTCTCGTTTGTTTTTGATTGTTCCGAAATCATATTATCGTTCAGGTATTTATTGCGCCGGCCACGGGTGAGGTGCGTAAGTTGGAGCTGGCACAGTTCCACGACCAGGGAATCCCAGCTGGAAAGGCCTTCACATTTACTGTACTTACTCATCGTGCTAACGGACATCTTGAAGCGAAGGTGATTCATTTGAATTGCTTGGATTTATGTTCCGCTAAGATTTCACAATTATACTAGGTAGTTACGCCGAGCAACGAGATTGAGACTATCGACATTGTTCCGATTGAGGATGGTGAGAGTTATGCGCTGCGATTCCTCCCAAAAGAGGTTAGCACGGTTGTCCCTGATCGATTTATTGAGCAATCTTCGCTAGGTGTGAGGTTGAACTGGTTTTCAGAGTGGTAATCACTATATTCACGTGACGCTGGACGGAGCACCGATGAGGGATTCACCATTCCGTTTGAGAGTTGGAGGACGTGACCAATGCGATCCGACGGCGATTAGCGTCACCGGTGATGGTATTAAGAGAGGTGCAACTGGACAGGTACTGCCACCTTTGTATGTTCTTTTTTCTGTTCATCAGCTGTATTTTTGATTATTTTTTTAGAAATGTGAATTCATCGTCGTTACATCAAATGCTGGTGCTGGAACACTAACAGTTCAATTGGATGGACCAAGCAAGGCGACACTCAATGCTTATGAAGTGGGTCTAATAGTCTAACTGTTGGGAAAGTCTTATCATGTGAGCGCGGGGGAGAAATGACCCTCTTCAGTCCAGGGTACTGCATCGTTGTATGAAACGCATAGGGGGATCGCACTTTTCCGCCAGGGAGCGGATGGGTCGTATTTGGTCGTTGGGAGAGAGGGGAGAGGTTTGCGACTGAAAGAAATTTGCTGCGTCGGGAAAATTTTTTCCCGGTTGTTGACTTTCCGCGTGATTTTGCCTGTTTCATGTGTACTATATACCCTTCCCCCCTCAGCTTTACACCAAAATTTTTGGAGAAAAGTAGGGAAATTGTCGATGATATCCGGAAAAAGGTAGGATAGTTGCAGAAAAGTTTAACTGACGCTGACAAATTTTTGGAATTCGGGGCTAAGAACTGGACTGGGAACTGAGGGAAATTGGTAGGTAGGTGTGGGTGGGGAGGGGGGAGTGGTTCGCGGCGGTCTATGACACCCTCTCTCGGGGGGGGAGGGCCGTGTACCTGACACCACTTCACAAATGCTAATTTGCTGTACCCTGCTTCAGTCTCTTCCATGTTGGGCCTGGGTTGGCTACTATTTCGGTTCTCGGTTTGAGATGATGTCTGCCCATTTTATTTCTGCAGCTTTTAGCGCCATTTCTGCCCGCCATAGTTCGGTCTTTATTTTTGCCTGCTCCTTATAACGCTCGGATAATGGGAGCACAGATGCGTACGCCTGACCTTAGCGGCCATCTGTAAAGCCTAAAAGTTTTCTTGGTTTATTTATCATTAATCAAATTAACAGGGAATTTGATATTTCCTTTTTGTAGTTGGAAAAGGGCTACAAAGTTCGTTATACTCCACTGGCACCAGGAGATTATTATGCAGCCATCAAGTACAAATGGTACGTTGTTACTGTTTACTATTATTTCTTGTAAGCTTCTCTCTCGTGTTCATTCATTCCTTTAACTTAAAGGCAGCATAGGCCGACAAATTCCGCTATAAGTAAGAGTATGCATTGATACGCCTGGCGGAGCGGATTTACGCAACCCTGAGCAGGCGCTGCATAGTGCTTTTTCTTTTTCCTTGTAAGGGTGCTATCAAGCTACATACCAGCATCGACCCACGCCCCGCGCCTACAAATGGACGACTTTAGCAGATATCGTTTCGCTTTTCATTTGCTATTTAAAATTTGAATCGAAGGGAATTTTTCGAAGCGGCTGCACTGCTGAATGGATATGTGTGTTCATACATGCAGCCGTACCTACCGGAGCGTTTATTTGCAATGCGCTCACGGGAAACTCGTCCAAAATTGCTTTCCAAGAACGAAGGCTTTTCTTCGCAATTTTCGACAGTTTCATCGTTTTTTCGTCATTTTCCCTCTAAGTAGCGCCCTCCTAGCATTTTAGGTTGAGTACCGAATTGCCGTGCCAACTGCCTTTGAACAAGCGGTGTAGTAGGATCAGGTAGCGGCAGAGGTGAACTCAAGTGTTCCTATGTACAAACCTTATGCTTACCTCCTTGGTCCTTGTCATGTGCGTAGTGAGTGAGTCTGCCGCTGCAGCAGCATGCCTCTTTCTTTCTCCGCTCGAAAGCCCTTCTTGACTGCATTCACCGCCGAGTCAGCGAAAGCAACGCGCTGCACCACCGGATCTACGAGTAACTATAGTCAGGCGCAGCGATTTGTCTTGTGCCTCTTCTTTGCTGGGGCCTCTTCTCAATTTTGGAGCGGGCGATTTCCATCCTGATCGGGACCCGACATGAAAGGACATGCGGCACGTGCAACGATTATGTGGGTGGAGTCAAAAGGCCACCGGATATCATCACTCTCCGGCCGCGTTGGCGTGGGTCTTGCGCGAGAAAGTAGGCATTGTGCTACAGGCAGCTATGGGCCATAACACCTCGCAAATGACAAGGATCAACGTAGAAAGTGGCTGCGCGTTCTGTCTTTGGAGAGGACTTGTACTCGAGTTTTTTTTTTTTGCGGGATTAGTATTTTGGCTCTCTGTTAGGAGTTATCACTTAAGTTACCCGGGTTTCGAAAAAGATTGAGGATTTGGTTTCTCCTTCAGAAGCAAGATTTTTGGGAGTCGGAGTTGAGGAAGGTCGAGGTTGTCGTGTCGCCTTCTTGTGTTTGTGAACCATAAACTTAGGTGAAGGTTTGCTTTATAGTTCACCTTTTTTATCTCAGCCATAGGAGATATTTACCTTTTTGCAGGAATTCACATACCTGGCTCTCCGTATAAGATCCCTGTTGAGGGAAAAGTGCTAGGAGGAAGCGGCTTACAACGAGTCGTCCTTCGTCAAGATAGATGCTGTTGCAAAGACTCCTAAGGGAACCGTGGTCCAAGTTCCGGAATACAAAGGAGATGCCACTAAGGTCAAAATTTATTCCTTTTTTTAGGCATCTGAGTAATTTCAATGAAGGTTCCAGGTTGAGGCAAAAGGCGCTGGCTTGAACAAATTCTTCCCTGGCAGACCTGCGATGTTTACGATTGATACCGCCTTAGCAGGTAAGATCTGTCCCCTGATTATAGCCCACTTTAGTTTCAACTCTTCTTCTGCTTTTGTTATTCGCCTCAACTCGGGGAACAGCTGAAGTGGTCACTCAAACGCCCAAATAATCTTGAAAGCGTTCTCTGTGAGGTAGTGAACTGCCATTAGGTACTGCTGACACTAAAGTTCGCTATCGATTTAGCTTGATCTCTGTTGTCGTGATGACAAATCAGCCACCCAAAAACGAAACCCATGTATTAATGTGTTGATTTTGGTTTTGTTTCTTTTCAGGACCTAATATTCTTATGGTTGGAGTGGTGACGACAAAAGGACCTTGCGAAGAAGTTGTAGTAAAACACCAAGGCAACGGCCACTATGTTGTCACATACAAAGTACCGGATCGTTTGAAAGGCTTCATCTTCATCAAATATGGCGATGAGGTTCGTTTTGCTCTTTTCATTGCTTTTGCTACTCAACGGAGGAGGCGAAGGTGGTATTGTTGCAAATGGTGCTCTTATCATTCGCGCGGTCCTGGCTTCAAATCCTTGGTCGACTTCCGCCCGGGAGACCAGGACTTCCACCCTTCGGGGCGGTAAATTGGTAGCAGATTTGTAGGGTAGGGTAGGACCTGTATATACCTCCGCAAGTCATTGTCTGGGCCACATCCCATTCAGTGAGCCACTACGATTCTGAATGGAAGCAGAATGCGTGCCGCATCCCATAAAGGATTGATCAACGGCGAAGACTTCATCCTTTTTCTTCAAAGGGGAGGCATCATGTAGGAGGAACCTGGCTATTCTGGAGAATGCATTTAGTCTCAATGAGGATTTTTTGAGGCAACCTGTACACTCGTCTCTAGTCTCTGCCGTATTTGAGGTAAATTTGTCCGCAGACGCAGAAGCGTGTTACTTCCCTCGCTCAAAAGTGCATGGCAACGAGGGCTGTAACCCCCTCTGATTTGAATTGTTCTTTATTCAGCATCAGTAAGCGTACGTACTAGTATTCACTGAATCTCAAACTCGTTCCGACAGAACAATCGGAATATTGATGAATTTGGTCCATTACAGGAGATTCCGGGCTCACCGTTTCCAATCGAGCCATAGACGGTCCAACTGGTTCAGCGGATCATATTGCATATTATGTCTTGCCCTATATGTGCCTTTCTTTCTGGTCCCTATGTTTTACATAGCTCCATCTATCCTGTATCGGCAAACGGTCAATGCTTTATTAGATCAGAGGGTTGTTGTTATTCGTAATCGTGTAACGCGGCTGGAAACAATCGTACCATTTCCTGCTCAGTCCTATTGCCATATATTGTTGTTTTTCTATTCAATAGATCTAGTAGATTTGTATAAAAGAGACGTGTTCTATTATAACCACGTGCAATGCTTGCAAAGTAATAAAATGCTTTAAAATAGGCTTTTTTTATGGAAATTATGGAAGTGCTGCAAGGCCAACAACAAAAAGTGGAAGCTAAAGTAAAAGGCAATGCTATCGAGCCATTTGTAAATTAGTCTCTCTAGGGATTCACTACTTGAGTTAAACTGCTTTTCATGTGCGATGTAGTAGTTTCAAAGTCTCAATTACTGCAAGAAGCCGATATTCAGTAAGGCTTCGGTCGCGCGGTTCAACGATCGATGCGCATGCTTTCGACTGCATCGATCGCGTCGAATGCGCGACCGAAGCGCTGCCGTCGCGAAGTCTGAACGCTGCCTAAGCGTCATAGCCATAAAGAAGACGATAATCTTGAGCAAGATTTATCTTTGGCTGCTCAGTGAGCGGTGGTGGTGGTGCGTGAAATGGTAGTATCAGTAAGAACTTCCCCCTTACCCCTCCACCGCCTCAGAAATTTCCTCATCTGGTCTAACCAACCCTCCCTAAACTTTGTATCCCGCTGAGAGAGGTCGTGATTGCATTCTCACTCGAGCGCGTGACAGTGGTTGCGAGAAGTTCTGCTCCTTCGTGGTAGTAACTCGACTTCGTTTTCAGCCTTATTAGTTGAGTGTTAACAGGTTTCGAATACGGGCAGTTAGTTTTTTGCTGGCAAAGGCTACCAGTTTTTTTTTCAAGATTGCTGCCACATCCTGCGCTAAGTACGCAATTACGACCTATCTATCTCTTGGGTTAGAGTGTATCCATCATAGTCGCAAATTTCCCGAATTCCTCAGACAAGCAATTCCCCTGATGAGGTTTTTCCAACAAAACTGTACCCCTGGTTCAGTTCTAGTTCTCTAACATTCGTCAAGGTTGCTCTTTGGAGGTAGGTTTGGAGATTTCCTCCGGAGAAAGTTTCACTCCCCGAACACGAATAGCGCATACATTTCCCGCGATTACATCTGGTGCCCACAACAACGGCATCAGCTCCACAGGCTTCCTTTGGTACGAGATGGATGTGATATCCTTGTTAGGGGAATGTGTCTCTGGACACAAGCTCCCATGTTGTTGTGATTCGCAGTGTTATGAGGCTGTATCTAACCAAAACCAACATTCCACATATGCTAGTCTGGCAAGGGA